CTTCATAATGTGCACAGAATTTCTATGACTATTAGAAATTAAACCTATAGCTTCCTATCAGGCAGAACATATTCATGTGTATATATGACCCACATTATTTGGAAGAACAATTATTAACTTATGAAATTATAATTTGAAACATAATGAAGTGAGGCTGCTAAAGAAAATATTACAGCTTTTAAAAGAGGTCAAAGCCACCAGTCCACTCCAATCAGCTCCCCCACCTTTCTTCACATCAATAAAGCACTTTGGGCTAAAGGGAGTCCAAGCGTTCAAGTTACCACCATTCCTTGCTGAGATCGAGCCCTCTATTTTCATACTGGAGATGAATTTTTAGAAGGTGAACCAAGCCTGGCCCTCTGCCCAGAATTTCTGGCAGCCGACAAGCAATCTGGTTTTACTTCTGGTCTACTCTCCCCTGAGCTAACCTTGTATCCACAGAAAACACCATGATCTAGGGAATGTGTACCATTTATAAATGATCACTGAGAAGCTCTGATGATTTTATTAACCATGGGACTTGTACTCACAGTTCTCTTTAAACATATTTTCTGCAGAAAGAAATATTATAAAATCTTGTTTCCTGGTATTTCCTTCTAACACTGGAAAAAATAGCAGTATTAAAAGGATATTTTCTAGAAAAATCAATTATTATATAGGCCCCTGCATTCAGGGATGTTAGAGGCCTAATGAGATTTGACAAGATGTCTGATGAGCAACTACTACCTAAGGAATATAAAGCAAGGTCCAGGAACCATAAAATAATTAGAAAAGTATACAAGATATATAACTAATGGCTAATTGGGCAATAAATGTTATGAAAGATCAGAGCAATCACTGCTAGGCAGTGTGGGGTAAAATTTGAATATACATAGGCCTAACTCTCCAGTGAGAGAATTATTAACTACTTAACCAATATCTTCTTTGGAGTAACGTTTCTAAGAACAAGCAGGATAGGAAAATGACTATGTAATTCAGAAATAAGTCTGTGTCCAAGTTTGTTTGTTTACCTCCAGTATCTAGCTGTTTCTCCATATTCTTGGTCTTCCAAAAACCAAAGTCAATGAAGCTTTATTCCACTGGTAACATTTTCTTTTTCCCTCCAGAAGCTGGATATGTTTCCCTACCCAGTTCCATTAATTCCTGGGTTTCCAGTTCCAGTTCCATGCTCACTTTTGTCTCTGCTCCTTGCTATCTACTTGATAGATGCAAGTCCATGCCTCATAGCTCAGAAACTGGCTTCCTGGCTAAGGTTTCCTAGTTTCCTAAACATCAGGAGAACTGCAGTACATCAAAACAGAGTCCTCAAGGAGATCCTGAATAGGAAAACTGATACACTAATGTTCATTTCTTCATATGCAACATGTACCCAACAATGTATTATTTTTCTAAGCAAAAGACATACTCGCTCATGTCCTGGCTCTGAAAAAAGAACTTTTCCTCACTTCTTGGGAATTTTTACTATTCTCTGTGACAATCTAATTTACAGTTCTTAACAGGGAGTCCTTTAATCTTGTTGAAAGAAATTTTTTAAAAATTAGTTTTAACTAAAACCAAGTCAGTCCCAGATACCTGACACAGTTATCAAGGTAACATAGTGAGAGAAGACTGTCACTTATGTACGTTCTCTGAGCTTAGGGACATAGGTCGGAGGTATGGGTGGGTAGATGGTAAATAGACAATTGTGAATAGTGAGACAAAAAAGGGCATTTTTCATCAGAACCAAGGATAAAGCTATAAAAGCAGAAGGATTCAATGAGCCAGAGCTTTGAGTAAAGGTTTAGATTTGGTCAAATCCAGTGTAGAGTCTACCCTTTCTAAGTGCCCTGAATATACAAAACATCCTTTATTCCTTATTTTGCCTACACAATCCCTTGGTCCTTTAAGACTCAGTTCAAATCCTCTCTTCACCTTGATAACTATGCTCCTGGATACCCTATATAGAATCTTTATTATTGCGCTTACCATATTTTACTTTACCAAGTTTTAGAAGGAAGTCATCCCCATTATATCATGAAATTCTTGAGAACAGCAACTGTATCTTATTCATCTTTTTATGCCTACCACCTAAAGTAGGTGCCTACAATATAGCAGGTGTTCAATAAATGTCTGTTGAGTGACTGTCTGAACAAATAAATCCTATATGTAGTAAAGGAATTTGAGAAGAAGAAGAGCATGAGAAAAAGGATGTTTAATGATCACCTAGGAAGGTGCTAGCTGAACTTAATCCTGGGCCTAACTGCTTGGGAAGCAACTGTTAGCAAAACCAAATATAGTTCTTGCTCTTCCAGAATGAAAAGGAGACAATAGCTGTTTGTGGTAATAATAACAGGCTGTTAGTGTTATCAACATCATCTCATGCAATAGGCTTATTAAGATACCAATTTATTTTCTAAAATTATAAAATAAAATGCAAAGGACAACTCTGTTCTATCTGCTCATGTCCCAATCCCCCCACTACACACAAAAGAAGCCCAACCAACATGTTATTATCCTTTAAACAAAATAAAACAAAAGGCCTAGATTCAATTGAGTAACTTAAGCATAAACAGCCATTTCTCCAAGGTCTTACTGAACATAAAACACAGTAGTTTTCGGTTTTTTGTTTTGCTGTGTTTTTCCCCCTCATAAGAGGATTCTAGGTAAAAATAATAAATAGAAAATTTCTCAACTAAAAAAAAAATAGTGACTCAAGATGTGAAGAGACCCTGTAAAGAGAAATTTCATAATATATGGAACTTGCTTCTAAATACAGCTGAATGGCGGGGCGAGGTGGCTCACGCCTGTAATCCTAGCACTCTGGGAGGCCAAGGAGGGTGGATTGCTCGAGGTCAGGAGTTCAAAATAAGCCTGAGTGAGACCCCATCTCTACCAAAAATAGAAAGAAACGAATTGACCAACTAAAAAAAAAAAATATATATATATACATATACATATATATATACAAAAAATTAGCCGGGCATGGTGGCACATGCCTGTAGTCCCAGCTACTCGAGAGGCTGAGGCAGTAGGATTGCTTGAACCCAGGAGTTTGAGGTTGCTGTGAGCTAGGCTGACGCCACAGCACTCACTCTAGCCTGGGCAACAAAGTGAGACTCTGTCTCAAAAATAAATAAATAAACAAACAAACACAGCTGAAGCAAAACAAACTAGGAGTTAAAAACATTAGGTTAACTCTATAATAATAGTATATGATCTTACGGGGAACTAAGGGGCAAGGAAATTCAAAACTCTATTGACAAACTGACAAAACACACCTACATAAAGGATTGCTGCACACCCTTTGGAGCATTTTTAAAACAAAAACTTCCCCAATTGTTCATCATCATTATTAGTATACATATGCTTGGAGTCGGGCGGCCATGACCAGTACTAAAAGAATTTGGCCACGGCAGGCCCTGTCCTACAGCATTCCTGGAAACTGCTTCTCTCAAAGAGACAGCAAAAGCTTCTACTGGCCTCCATATCTATTCCTCCCACTCTAAAGCAGAGCTATTTCTTTACCTCAATTTCTGCAGCAGCAACATAATGAGGAGTCAGACAGACCTGGTTGCAAATTTAGCTTTTCTAAGACTCGATTTCCTCATTTGTAAAGTGAAGGAAGTGGTTCTGCTCTCTCATAGGGCTATTGTGAAAATCACATAATGTAATGATATGTGCCTGGCCCAAAAGGATGCTTAATAAATATTAGACTGTTCCTTTCCTATCCCTCCCCTGAGGTTCTGTAACCTTGTTTCTCTTTATCCTCATTCCTCCTTTTTTCTGTTTTCTCATTCCTTAAAAATATTTAGAGAATCTACCTCCTATCTCCTTTGAGTTATTCCTCTATTTATTTCAAAATCCCAAAGGAAGGTCTAAAAAAAAACTTATTTACATGAAACTGAATAACTGTACTACAGAAGCGTACATATCTCCTATGCTTTGCAGATGATGACTCAAGAGCTAGCTAGCACCTGAATGTACATCTATGGACTTTGGGCATAATTAATGCTCCACATCAGTAGAAAGACTTAAATAGTACAAATATTTTCACATGTTATTTCACAAATCACAGACTTCAGAACAATTTATATTTAAATATGGTTTTGCAAAAAAGCAATTTTCAAATTTTCTTTAGCTCCAAGTAAAATTGTTATAATTTAGTGACACCATGTGGCTACATTTTGCTTTGCATTCTTAGAAGAAAATGTTCCTCTGTATGCAGGGTTGCTCTATGCTAGTCCAATTATAATATCAAAGTTGTAGGTAGAGGGACAACTCTAAGTACGAACTAAAGCAATTGCTTTTTTAAAGTGAACCTATTCCTGTTTATTTTACATCTGAATAAGGCATTTTTTGAACTGTGAAGCTCTCCAATCACATGAAGATAGTAATGGCTCAACATAATTCTAGCTATGACTCTAAAGCACCCTGGTGAACCACTAAATAATATAAAAGTGTCTGCCTTTAAAAGTAAATAAATATATCAATACTCAGTTATGGGAGGTGGGGTGGAGGAACAAAAGAGAAAAGAAAGAAGACACACATGCTTTTATACAATGTTAATATGGTAGGGAAATAATGCTTCCATAAATAGCAATGCTTATTTCCTCATTTGTTTTATGTCTCATAGATCTACAGCACTGTGTAGATACTATAATCTAATGAGAATGGGTGAAAAAAAATTATGGTGTATCTAAGGACGGCAGGAATGAGGAGAGACCTGGAATGTATGGTAGCAATAAAAGAGATTAAAGTGCCTTATACCAAAAAACAGTACAGTTTTAGTATTCATCTAATGAGGCCTCCTGCAGTAGACCAGCTATTCCTGAATAACATTCAATGTACACCAAAGAAATCCTGAATATCTAAAACAATGACCAGAAAATATCGCTCCCTTAATCTCAGCCTAAAACACCCACCTTCCCTCTGTAGCCTTCCCCAACTACCCTATTTAAAATAACAACCTCCCCTAACCCCAGTCACTATCACAGTACCATCTTCACAACATTTATAATTACCTGATGTGTTCTTGACTATTTGTTTATATCTGTTTCTCCCAAATTCCATGAGAGCAGAAACCCTGACAGCCTTATTCAGGGCCAAGATGTCAGTATCAAGCACAATACATAGAACAAAGTAGGTGCTTATTTGTTGAATGAGTGAAGAATGAATCAACAGATGAATAAATAAAGAGAAATCTGTTTCCTTAGCTGGTGAAGCATGCCTAAATTTCTTGTTGTAAGTGAAAAGAGAACCATTCTAGTAAGATGTTTATCATCGCTTAGAGCCTCTAACGGTGACCCCTGTGTCTGGAAGACAGGCTGACAGATACTCTACGACACCCTTTTCTTCTATGACACATTTGGCACATCACAATTTCTCATTCTAAGAAAGGAATAAAAAAAAAGGAAGGAAAACTACAATCATTAAAACACTTTCAGCAAGAGTCAAATCACTAGGACAGAAAAGAGCATATGCTAGAATTCAGCTCATGACAAACATGGCCATTCATATTAGTGTGGTAAAAAATGATTATGGATAAATGATTTTAGTCAACTGACTATCCCTGCCTGAAAAGATATATGAAAAATATTCTGGCTGGATTAAATATTGAGATACAAATACTAAAAAAATAAGTGGTAGAAAAACTGTATGAAAATATAACACTCTTTTTTTTTTAGATATGTGATGATTTATTTATTTATTTTTTTGGAACACATTTTTTTTTTAATTTTAGCGACATTCTTTAATATTGGAGTGAGGAATACCCTTTTAACGTAATACCAAACCAGAAATCATAAAAGGACTGACAGATTTGAGTACATTTTTAAAAAAATAAAACTCTATATGGCATAAAAACCAATAAGACACTAAAAACTAGTAACAAAGTACACAATACATGACAGGCAAAAGGATAATGTCACATAAACACAAATGTATCAATGTATCGATATAAAGTTTTCACATGACAAAAAGAGAAAGATAATCATCTCAGAAAAAAATACAGAAGACAAAAATAAGCTTTTCATAAATAAGAAAAAACAAGTGGCCAGTATTAAAAGATACTTTAACTCACTGATAATCAAAGCAATTCAAAGCAAAATAAGACCTTTTTACAAATCATAAATTACATTGGCAAAATATTGACAATGTCTACATTGGTAAGAGTTCAGAGAAAGGAATTTTTATGTGCAATTGGTAGAAATCAGGTACATTTCCAGAGGGCAAGTTTTATCAATATTTAAAATATATACTATAATTTTATAGTGAGAGACTTTTCCATTTTGATGATTAAAAATAAAAGGAAAAAAATAAAAATAAAAAAAAATAAAAGGAAAGACAGAAAGAAGTCCAGTTTTGTGTTAACCGAGTTCATCCCTCCTGTGCCACATTGTTAATTGTCAAGTTGCACCCTTCTCAACACCCTTTCTGGCCTTGTCTTCAGTAAACTGTGATCCTCTGAATCTTCCTCTAATCTCTCCGACCAGCCCGAAGTAAATACCTCTGCCATCTATTCTTTTCTTTCCTCTCCCAACAGGCAAATCCTTGAAAACTCTGCTTTTGGCCCTGCTATTCTTATCCCTCAACTCCCAGGTTTTACACTAAGATCACACTTATAATTCCAACCATGAGTCATATGCGCACTTTGAAGCCACCTCTATCAATTCACATCTATGTGTTCAAGTCTTCTCATATTCCAGCAATATTATATGGCTGCCAAATTAACAGCACCAAGTTGAGAAACAGTCAGAAATTTAAAAAAGCATCCCTAGGGTACTCAACATTCGCCACCCCTTACTAGCGTTTTCTGTTCAGCCCTGAGCTCCACAATCTGAGAACACTGTGGAAAGGACTGAGAGAGAGCTTACTATTATAGATAGCCAAGAAGGCAATTTGAAGGTTGCAGATTATGGATAAGGCAGAAATTGCCTTTCATGAGAAAGAGAAGACTGGCAAACATAGCATGGGTCTGAGGGCATATGAAAGACCGGACATAAATTGATGAGTCACTATTCTTCATCCATAGTTAGGGGCTGAGGGAGGTGATTGGTCTAAACTTTTGGCTACATAAAGCAGTCCCCACTTAATCCACAAAGCATTCCTAAAAAGAGTCCAGAAAGAGCTGATCATTTCTCTCCATTCACCGCTATGGATGGAACAACTACTCTGGCTTTGAAGCCTGAATTGATCCTTATAGCCGTTAGATAAGATCTGCTATCTTGGCCAGGTGAAAGCTGACTGAATTTCATTCCACAAGAGAAATGAATGGCAAACTTATGTTATATGTATTTTACCAAACTACAAAATGTTTTACCAAAATCAAAATATATAAAATATGCTAAAAACATACAAAAACGGGGAGGTTGTTAAGATAAAAAAAAAACCATGTAAGGCACATTTTGGATTGCTATGCATGGACTGACCATATGGAAAAGTAGCAAGAAGACTAAGTTCTGATGTAAGAAACAGTGCCCTCATAGTGGGAGCTGCTACAGCCAAAGAAGATGGCAGGGATAACTCTCTGTCTCTGAGGGTCATACACCAGTTGGGAGTCTCCAAAATCATGAAAAAATAACTCAAACAACTGCTATTTATTGAGCCTCTACTTTTAGCCGGGCACTGTGCTCAGTACTTGTAAATACAATATGTCATCTAACTGTCCCATCAAAAATAAAGACGGTGTCATTATTCCTGTTCTTTATGGATTTAGATACCAGGGCTCAAGGAGGCACAATTCTATCACAATGCAAGTATGAGGTGAAACCAAGATTTGAGAAGAGCTCTATCTAACTCCACAGCCCATTGTTTTTCCACTATACAATGCTGATTCATATGCAGTTTAGCCTAAATGCAGAGACAGGACTGGGTAATTGCACATTCCCCAATTCATAGAGTACCTCTTCTTTTCTAAATGTATTAAATGTAATCTTTCATCAATATATGATACTCATATCCCTCAGGATTAACCTCAAAGTTCAGTTTCCTTAAAAAAACCCAAAGTAACCTTTATAAACAGTTCAGAACCATTTACCACGCCAGAGAGTAAATATATATGCATATTATTGTTAAATCAATAATATAGTCAGTGCCTTGATACCACAAAACCCATGTAACATTTATAGAGTACCTACTGGATACAAGGTCACAGTCTGAGTACCATGCAAGAATACTAAAAGATTAGGTCAGGCACAGTGGCTCACATACTTTGAGAGGATCACTTGAGGCCAGGAGTTTGAGACCACCTTGTCTCTATAAAAAATAGAAAAAGGAGCTGGGCATGGGGGCAAACACCTATAGTCCCAGTTACCTGGGAGACTGAGGCAGGAGGATCACTCAAGCCCAGGAGTTTGAGTTTGCAGTGTAACCCAGGCAACAGAGCAAGACACTGTCTCAAAAAAAAAGAATACTGAAAGATTAGAATTCATACTCCTTGCCTCCAAGAGCTTGTAATGTTACTATTAGAGGCAAGACAAACACACAAAGGACACTAAAGAACAAAGGTGACATACAATGCAAATTAACAAACGTAATACAAATTGAACACTTACATGCTAAGAAAATATTTATTTGCCCAGTGAAGTTCCTGGAAGAAGTGTATTTAGAACATTGCTTAGGTAGTCAATAAATGATTGTGAAGATAAGAAACAGCAAGCCATCCTTGAATAATCAATAGATACTTATTCTTAGGTTCATTTTAAAACACTATCAAAACCTAGTACAAAAGGTAGTTTATGAAGGAATGTAGTAATTAATATAAGTTAAAGTGGTTATAAATTTTTTAAAATTTTTCTAACCTGGATATCAAGATTCCTTCCTTTTCCTGCTATCACTATCTGTAACACCACATTGCTCAGTTTTTCTCAATCAGAGTTGGAAGCTGGTTATACCAAGACAACTACCATCTTGAATACAAGCAGGCTCCAAACACATAAAAACTAAACCAACAAAGTCAAGGCCAGATAGGATTGACAAAATAAGGAAACAAGGTATAAATAATGCTCATTAATAAATACAGAGGAAGTATTTTCTAAAAGCCAAGGATCATGACTAAAGGCACGTATTTCCCTCCATACATACAACAGGAGCTTTCAGGTGGGTAAAGCACACAAACTATCACAGCTGATATTATAATATATTCATGATGATTCATTCTAGAAGTCATGTTCCTGTTGTTTTAAATTAAATGCCAACACCAAGTCCTTCAGTCCATATCAGATGCTTTGATTGTTATGCTGCCTGCTTTGTAATCCCATACAACAGTAACAACCTGAGTCAATGCAGACTCAATCTCCTCCTCCATGTGGAGGCCCCTCTGTCACTCTCAAAGTATCCCTAGGCAGTTCTGAGATATGAAATCTTCACTCAATTTCTTGTCCTTCTCATTTTAATCCACTCAAAACTCCTCTGATAAAAGAGCAACCGTGAGACCTGAGATACTTTAGTCTCTCTATGGGGAAATAAAATTCATTTTCTTCATTTTCACACAAGAGGAACCCTGGGTAACAATATTATGTCCACTCATATCCATAATAAAAAAAAATGTAGGCAACATTCTTTACTGTGCCAGAAGCTGAAAGGTTTTGTGGAGTTCCTAGTGGAGGTAAGAATTCAGGCTTATGCTGTTAGATCGTAAGTTTCACAAGTACAAGGGTGACTTCTGAACAAGAGAATAAGTGCTTAGGGCATCCCCATCTCCTCCAAATCAGCCACAGTGGGAGGTCAGGAGGGGTCATGGGTGAGGGTGGGGAGGGGAGTGGGTAAAGGGCCAGCTCCACATTCTTCTTGGCTTACACTCACCATATCCTGTACCTTCTCTTCCTGCCACACCTGAGTAAATGAACCAATCACTTTCTGTCTTTGATCTTTTGACTTTGAGGAAAAAAACAGAATTTCATGGCCTTTAACCACGTTTCCCAACTCCCAAATTCATTAATTCATATATGTTTTATAGAATTTCATTGAAATGTTTAAATGATACCTTATTCCTAAAGGGAGAACATGAAGTATTAGAACAGTAGCTCTTTGATACTTTTTAAAAACAATCGTACCTGAGGCTGCAATACAAAACAACAATAAAAGCAGAGGTGCTCTGGTTGAAGGGAGAGTGTGAGCCTGGAGCCCCAATTGCTAGGCGTTCCTTGTCCCAAATCCAACCCCACATGAAACACCTGCTCTCTCAAACCCCATCTGATAACCATTGACCCAGGGAAAAACATGCGCACTGGCATTCAAAAATCTTCTCCTGGCCCTGGGCATTGCCAGAGAAGCCTCCAGGAGTATCTTTCATGGCTTTCATGGGAAGAACATACCCACTAGCTAACGATAATTCTGCTTTCAGTGTATAGCATGGAGTTTTAAAACCATTTCCACTTCTCAAATGTTCTTTCTTATTCACATGTCTATTACAAATATATGACACAAAACATTTTGGATAAATAGTTCCACAATATACTCTAAATATTAAGACATATAATTTCCTATATTTTCCCTAAGTTTTTTACTTCAGATGTGTTTGGTAGTTGATACCCTGAAAAACTCTTTTTCCATGAGATAGAAAAACACAATCTGCTTCCCAAAGTCCAAATCTCCTTACATAAAAATCAAAATTATTAACCACGAGAACTAACCTGCAGACCCGGGCTGGAAAATATAACTTTTGCCAAGAACGACACAGATATTGAGAATGATCTATCACTCTGATCCAATCAAGTTCATCCATTGATACTTCAATGAAGTATGAATAAGACCTGTGAATCAAAAGGAAAAAAAACATATTAAAATAATACAAAGCTATACTTTTAAAAAAAGTTAAAAGCTACAGAAAAATATAGAATTCAATAATTGTATTTTCTTATTTGATTTTTTGTTTTTATTTTTGTTTTGAGAGACGGTTTCACCCTGTTACCTGGACTAGAGGGGCATGGCATTAGCCTAACTCACAGCAACCTCAATCTCCTGGGCTCAAGCAAATCTCCTGTCTCAGCCTCCTGAGTAGCTGGGACTACAGGCTCATGCCACCACACCCAGATAATTTTTCTACTTTTGGTAGAGATAGGGTCTTGCTCTTGCTCAAGCTGGTCTCTAACTCCTAAGCTCAAGCAATCCTCCTGCCTCAGCCTCCCAGAGTGCTAGGATTATAGTTGTGTGCCACCGCACCTGGCCAATAATTGTATTTTCTGCACAAATTCAGATAACAATGAAAGGTGTATACCTGCCTCTATTGTAGCATTCACCCACAATGCATTGAAATTATCTCTCAGTTTGTGTGTCTGCCTTATCAAATAATAAACTGCTTAAGAACAAGGACCATACCATATTTATCTTCATATCCCCAGGGTCTAGCACAGTGATTAGAATGTATCAGACACACAAAGCATTGGCTCCTTTTCAAACATGGCCAGATGCCTTTCCCATACCATCTTAGCAGATTAATAAATCCATGAGAAAGAGAAAGAACAGAAAATAGGGAAGGAGGAGACATGCCTTCTCCCTATCCCTTCCTGGGCAATGTGCTCAGCCTCCCATTTCAGGAGGAAAGCCAACTTGGAATGGTTCCCCACAGAGGCCAGCTTATCTCCTGCTACTTCCCAGTCTCCTACCATCCCACACATACAAGAGTCTGCAAAAAAACAAATGACATGAGTGAAGAGATAAAGCATGCTTCTTTTGGGTACAACTTAAAACTTGCCAGCTAATAATCTGGCAATAATGAAAACAGCCTATCATCTTCCTCTAGCCAGCTACCCTGGACCATTACATGCTGGTCCCATACTCAACAAATCTATATTCCCCTGTCATGAACCAAATTTAAATTTGAGATGCAGTTATTACTTGTACTGTAATATCAACAGGAACAATCTCTAAAGATTTAGGTGACCATAAATGTCAGGCTGCAACCCACAGTTGTGGCCAGAAAAGGTCAGCTTATTTTGTGTCATCCCCTCATTTTCTACTGTCCCCTCACTCCCATTCATTTTATCGCTCAGTCTCAAACTGGTTATAACCTTTTATTGAACCTCTCTGGGTTATCAGTAATGCAGGATATAATTTTACAGCATGTCAGAATCTTTTTGGCTTAAGATTCTGAATTTTTCACCTTTGCTTAGAAAGATAACAATTTCTGTGAGAAAAGAACAGTTATGTGGTAAAGTTAAGTCCCCTGTGAATGTAATGTACACACTAAAACAAAGTGACCTATAAATATTTAACATCCTAGAAATGATAACTACTTTCAGTTTCAACAGACTAACCTTTTCTTTTATTATTTTTATACTAATTTCATTATAATTAAATGAGTGAAATATGAAAAGCTTTTAGAACAATGCCTACCATATAAAAGTAATGAAAGTACTATATAAGTATTATTATTATACTGTTATTAATCAGAGACTCTTGGAAATGAGGTATGTGAATTAGCTCCACTTTGCCAATTAAACATCATATATCCAAAAATATATACCAGGAAATATATTCTTAATAAAAAAAGGAAACAGGGGGAGTAACCTGGGGACCGCAAGTACCCATGCACATGAGAAATGTTGACTTCCCTCATACTTGGCTCAAATGGTGTAAAAGCCCAGGGTGGTAGCCGGTGGTACTGACAAGAGAAACACATTACCTTGTAAAGCCTGCAGGGTATCATCACCATTACTATTAAGCCCCTCATGCCCAGACCTACAGCGACACGAACAGAATCTAGTTTATGGGTATGGAGGGTCTAGGTCAATGATAAATAGTAGTACAGGTGGCAGTTCATTTCTTGGTCACCCATACTGCTCTGGTACTACTGCCATCACGATGGACCTGGAAGCGACAGAGGGTGAAGTAACACAGTGGCTAGAAGGCAGGCAGTATCCTGAAGCCACTGAGAAATTGAGTGGGTTCCCAGTATAAAGCCCATCAAATATTTTTAAAAATTTGTTTTGAGGATGACGTTTATCCACACATTGAAAGACAATTTTTCTCTTCATCCATAGGATAAAATGCAATTGAAAAGTTATAATAGCCGGACACAATGGCTCATGCCTGTAATCACAGTGGCTAGGGAGGCTGAGGCAAGAGGACCATTTGAGGTCAGAATTTTAAGATCACCCTGAGTGACACAGCAAGAACCCATCTCTGGAAAAAAAAAAAAAAAAACTAAAAAAACTTACAAACTTAGCCAGGCATGGTGGCCCACACCTGTAGTACCAGATACTTGGGAGGCTAAAACAGGAAGATCCCTTGAGCCCAGGAGTTTGAGGCTGCAGTGAGCTATGACTGTGCCACTGCACTCCAGCCTGGGCAACAGAGGGAGACCCATCTCGAAAAAAGACGAAAAAAAGTCACAATATCCAAAAGTAATGAATCAAGCAAATAAATAACCCATATGGTGGAATACCAGAAAACTATTACAAATAACATTTTAGAGGAATATTTTTTTAAAGAGTAGAATGTTCACAATACATAAATTATAAAATGAAGTTAGCTTTTTGTACATCTAATCTTTATTTTATAAAACTATGTTTATATAGGTTTCCATTTTGTGTGTGTCTATACATAATAAAAAAAAACCCTACTAATCAAATATATAAAAAGACTAGTCACAGGTGGTGAGATTATTAGCAATGTTGATTTGCTAGCAATTTTTATTTTCTTCTATGTGCTTTTCTACATTTTCTAAAATAAACACATACTCATTACTTTTATAAGCATAAAGAAAACAAAAAATGTTACCTATTCTTTAAAAAATATCCTTTAACTCTTTCCCCAGAACTAATCTTTAAGAAAAATAATAGGGTGATCACAAAGAAATAAACCATCAAAATCTGTAAAACCAAAGTAGATGACCACAAACCTAGGTTGTCATGCCAATGACTCACCGGCTATCCCGGTCCCACAGGAGTATCCGTATGTGATTGATAATGGATGGCTGACCTAGCTTAATTTCGATGCCTGAACGGCAGTCATCATCAATTGGGTGCCTAGAAAATCCATGATCCAAATCATAATTTTGAGTATCACCATCTAATAAGGCAGACTTCAGCTCCCCTTTTACAACCTGGGCTCCATACTTCATAGTTGCAATGTTTTCTTCTGGTACTACAGTTCAAAACAGAAAAAACAAGGTCAATGGTTACCTACTAAGTTATTCTACATTTTGGGGGATAGAAAAATTAGATTGTATAATTCTATATATAGTTGACTCTAGTATTTGCATTTAATTTAAAAATGGCATAGTTTTATGGGGATAGACAATATGGAATGTCTATGAGGATTAAGACACCATTCAGAGTTTAAATTTAATGTCACTATCAGAGCCACAAAAGTACCTAGGGATTAATGTTATTTTTTAAAAGTTAATAATACTAAAAAAAAAAAAAAAAAGCATGTACTAGGACAAACAAATCAGCTCTGCCGAGCCCATTCTATTAGTAGCTTAAATTTCATATCTACTGAACAAAAATAGCATGTAAGATGACCTGTACCTGCCATCTGGACTGAGGACAATGTACAAAAGCAAAGCAAACAGGTCAGACATCTGATAAACAACAGAAAGAAAAGGTTCCAGTATAGCACAGTGATAGTTATACATGGACTGCTGAATCAATATAGCTTAAAGAAAAAGATTATGTTTAAAAGAAGATATATTTTTACTTCACTTGAGAATTTTTAAAAATAAACATTCAGATAGTCTGTCATCAACATCAGTATTGTGGTTATTATTAAATCCCCTCCCTCTCCAACATTAGATTTACTAAGTGCCATATATCCCTGGGAAGGCCTAGATGCAAACTCTGCTTCACAGATCTGGAACCTGTCCTCCTAACACTCTAAAACACACTCTCCAGGGAGAGACGAGAGGCTGAATAATGTTAAGACTTTGAAGAGTCAGAGTTTAAATAGTGGCTCCATGTTTAATCAAGTGTATCACTTTGGAGAAGTTACCCTCTCTAACCTTCAATTTCTCAACTGGGCCATATCTATCCCCCAGGTGTTTTTGTTTCTTTTAAGGATGAAATGAGATGATGTCTGTAAAACACATAGTAAGCTCTAAAAAAATATAGCCATTACTATTATAAAACATACATATTAAAAAGTACTTTGCAAGAAAACTATGTAAGTTTACAAACTATAAATAAATACTGGATTCTCACAGAACACATACATCTTGGCTGTGTGATCTGAATAGTGCAAAGTGTGAGCTATAATCAGGCTCTTAGGGAAAAAGATGATAAGTAATTCACCACTGCAGATTTTTTGAGAAAAAAAAATTAATTTCAAATGAAGACAGGTAAAGAGAGTGGCTCCAGAAGAAGATAATAAATGCAGCTGAAAAATGGAAGCTGGCGTGGGGTTCAGTCAACTAGCAAAAGACAGAGGCAACTCAGCAAAAACAAAACAATCCTAGTCATGCTCAACTTCTTACCACCAGAAGTTTAAATGCCATAGATTTATAACTTTCTAAGTTCTATCAGCTTGTGATAACCACCTACAGTCTTCCTATTTATTTACCAAATCTTATATAATGTATATTATGTGCTAGAGTCCAGACACTGTTCTAAGCACTTTGCAAATATTAATTCCTTTGATTTACTCCTCATTAATAATCCTACTCTTATGTCCATTTTGCAGATGAGAAGTGGAGGCAGAGAAAAGTTAGATGTACTTACTTGCCCAAGGTATCAGAGCTAGCAAGTAGCAGAGTTGAGATCAGAACCCAAGCAGTTGTCTCCAGGGGCCCTGTTTTTATAATAACGCAATGCTTTGCAACCTCCCTCATGAAGGGTTTCTGATGGATGACAATACCTTTCCCCTCTTTCTAACACCCACTTTCCTCTAAGGTTGCTTAAGACCTACAGGGAAGAAACAGCCTGGTATAGTGGGAAAAAAAAAGTTGTACTTAAAGTGAAAAAATCAAGTTTAAGACTCAGGCATTATCACTCACTACCCCTGAGTAAGGCCTTTTAGTCTCTCTGAATCTGTTTTCCCATCTAAAAATAATACTTTGCCCAACCCACCTCACAGGGTTACTGTAAAAATTACACTACAAATAATATATGCTAAAGTACAGTGTAAGTATAAAGCATTCATTCAGTCAAAAAGCACCTTCTGAAGACTCAATCTGTACCAGTTACTGTGTAAGGCATTGGGAGGGACCTCGTGAACTCAACAAAGATAGGCCCTCTCCTCCTGAGGCCTCCAATCTAGAGATGAAGCAGTTTACGAGCAAGCAAACAAAAGCTTCGAATCTGTGTCTTACAGGCATCACTGATACATAACTACTTGGTAAAAATAAACATTTTTTCCCCTTCTTTAGGTATAAAATGTGGAAGAACAAAGTCTGCTGCTGCTGACCCCTGGAACCCTCTCCTCCAGTTCTGACACCATGAGTCAGGACTAAGCCAAAGGGAACACCAAGCTTTCAGATTTATAAACTAATGTCACCTTTTGATTTTCTCTAAATATAAGCTTCTTAAGCACTAAAATTTATCAAGCTAGGGATGACATACTAAGCACAAGAATTTCAAGTGACTAAAACTAAAGTCTAAAATGGAAATAAAATTTCTACCACAAATTTAAGTCTTCTTTTGAAGTTTACTTCAAGAGTACTTGAGAACTTTTCTAACAATTCTTGATATGGATTCATTCCCTGAGAATATCTTTCACTTCAAAATGGTGAACTTTATACAAGTGGAAATTCTCTTATGGTAACTATACTATGAATATCTCATTGGATAAAAATACAACTCCAAATACTTTTTGTAAAATCTATAATTAAGTGATGAATTTAATCACTTAATTTAATCACAGGAAGAGTGATCATGAGAAAATTCAAATCATAATAAAATGATTCAAACCATAAATATTCTCAGTGCCTGTATTTGTTTATCAGTAGAGAAAAGAGTTCTCAAAATATACAAGGTTGTAGGGATTAAACAAGACAGTAATAACAATCATAATATTTTTACACTTGCAATTTTTAATGCATTTTACAAACATTAAGCAAAAAAATTAAGCTTTGAAGCTCTACAGCTAGGTAGAAACAAGCCAATTATTAGAAAGAAAAACTAAGGAGAAATGAAGGAGGAACTGCCCCTAGTTACAGAGGCCGAAAATCTGAGTGATGCTGAGTTGATTACCCTTTGTTTTTCTTTCATTGCTTTATGTTATGTCTTAATCATCTTCTATTGAACTCTCTACTACATGTAAGTTGAGATGGTTGAATTCACCTTGATGGCTTATTGGGATCCAGACTTAGTTCTCTGCCCACTGCAATCTACTTACCCAATTCTGTCACTTAAATAATCTTCTACTCCCTACCTCGACCTCCCCAAAGAATGTATGGATCCTCCCTTCCTGTGAATATTCCCCCGAAACCATAGCATTACAAATGACTTTCTCAACAACTCCTACCATACCTTAACTTTCCCCATTGTCTTCATTTTCTGCAAGCCTCTTTTCCATATTGGAAAGACTGGTACTCAGATACACCACAGAAGGAAAATAAAAAAGAAGCCAGGCAGGAGAACCTATGGAACACCATTCCCCTCAAGAGACATAAGACCAGCACTTTGGTTCCAGCTCTGGTCCTGATTTTACTTGGTAATTTAGGAAAGTTGCTTGGAAAGATCACAGAGCTGAAAGGACCCTCAACCTACTCATTCAAAGAAGAAAAATGTCCTAAGCTGCCTCCTATGTGCTGGTCACTGTACTAGACTCACCCTTCTGGAGCTCACCATCTAATGAGACAAGAGCACATATATAGACACTAAATGCCTCCAAAGAGGAAAACTTATTAGAGATGATTTATAAACCCCCTACTTTAGAGATGAGACTTTCCCTATCACAGCAAACTACAGTTGGGAAAACACAGTAGTATCAGAAGTCAAAGAGTTTTCAAAGTATTAAAGGTTCATTATTGTTATTACTGTTTTTATATGACAGGTGAAACGAATTTAAAGTCTAGTTTAGAAGCAAGGGATGGATTCATTCAGTCACTCATTTATTTAAAAAAAAAAGTCTAGATTCAGGCACTGTGCTAGGTGCTGGAGAAACACAGACAAAAAGACATAATTATAGTCCTCCAGAAGCTCAGTCTAGTAGGAGTCTAAGCAAATAAACCAACAATGATAATACCACAGTGGCAAGCTCCTTAGTATGAGGAATGAAAACACACACACACACACATTAACCAATAATTTAACTTATCGGTCCTATGAACAGATTGACTTTTACTCAATAAGGAAATCTTGAGAATAGAATTTGTTATGTGCTCCCTACTATAAACATGCAGAAACAAGAAATTACTGTTCTTTCCCAGCCTAAAATCTAAGATGTATAAAACAAAGTATAACTTAGCCTTAATAGAAAAAGCACTAAACTTCAAAACAGAAATATTTCTACAGCTATGATAAAACTATAGGTCTTAATATGGTACAAGTAGTTCAAATATCTTAAGGAAAAAAAACTTTATTAAAAAGTTAATTTTCTTTCCCCAACTGTATAGAAGAATGTTCATCATCATATATGTATGCATAAAACTAGTGTAAACTACCTTCCAGAAAGACCAACCATCACAGGTAAGTTAAAAACACCCTTTGAATACACTTTTCTTTTTTAAAGAGGGAAAAAAAAAAATCTCTTTGATGTAGTAAAAGCCTCAGGATGTGCATCTTTACAAATTAAACTTTCCAGTAACCAATGATAATGAACTCAAAGAAAGAAAAAGCATTAGTGTCTATGTCTCAGCCCCAAGATAGAACCTTTCTACATTTCATGAAAAGTCCCCAAAGACACAGAACCTACACCTAGGGAAAAACAGCAACAAAAAATTCTGTCAATAATTTCAAAACAAGCAGACCTATCTTTCCAAATCAGCCCAATAACAGCTCTGAAATTTTAGATCCTTTCTAACAGTGAAGAAATCTGATTAAAGAAAATAATGATATGAATGTTTAGAGAACATTTACTTAGAAAATACCTGTTTTTTAAGGATCGGATAGGAAAGTGTTATGCTTCCTTAGTATTTATATAACTGGTTTTACTATTCATATTCTTTAAAAGTCAGGAAAAGCAGACTGCTATTTAATTATTACTCAAGTTTAGAAGTTAGATAAAAGACTCTCAAACATAATATAATCTCTTCCTAGAGCTCCCTATAAATTACTTCAATACGAAGAATTTAACCTTAGTGAGCAATAATCTCAGTAAGTGTATCATTCCAGCACTGAGTGCCTCAACTGGCTGAGTATTCCCTTTCACAGCTAATCCCATGGGTATAAGCCAGGTCTTACACTGATCAGCTGATCAATTTCAACCTACCAGTAACTACGTAAAATGTCCAAAACATCTCCTTACTTCTGCAACCATGTCCCATGCCTATTCCTATAACAGCACCTCAAATCAAATATAAAAAAAGAGGGAAAAGGAGCTTATATAAAAGAAGATATGACAATGAATATTTGGAAAGTCTGAAATTAATAACTCATCTTGTTACCTCTCCAACCTCTATCCTCCTACACTTTATCCAAGTCTGACCCTCTAACTAGTACCACTCTCTAGCACTTCTAATTTCTACATGGATCTCTCCCAAACTATTCTCTCTAGCTACCATATACTATTTCTCTACTACCTTTCAACCCAATTCACAAATCAGAGAGGCAGCATATTATATATATCTACTATTTTTTCAAACATTCATAGTTTCATTCACTGTGCAGATAGTCTTCTGTGCAGACTACTCACCAACTCACCCCAATTTATATACAAAAGTTGTTCTCAATTTTCATTCTCCTTGACCTCCCAGCATCATGATATACCACTGACCACCCTCATTCATATAAAAGCTCTCTCCTCTGGTTGGCCTCCATAATTCTCTTCTAAATATCTTCCCTCCTCTCCAACTCCTCTTTCTCTACCTTAAGTCCCCTGGCTGTAGGTCTCCAAGTCTTAGACTTTGATATTTACTTCTTTCTCTATATTCTAGCCCAGGTTTCCGTACTTTTATCACCAGCTTTGACTGCTTCCTAAACACCAGTAATTTGTTGCTATTTCCTATTAGACATTTCTCCTTGCATTCATTCACCAAGTACCTGCTATATGCTATTCACTGTGTTAAATGTTCAGAATACAAAGATCAATAAGGCCTACAAAGATTATCTCTGCCTTCAAGGATCAAAGACAAGTAAACAAAAATGTTATCACATGTGATCAATGTGAAAATTGTCACACAGATATACAGAGACGAAAAAGAACATATCAATAATAATAATAATATAAGAATGGCTTTCTAAATTGAGCTCACACATTATTTGCACACATTTCAATTAATTCTTATAACAATGCTAAGAGATATAAAAATCAAAGATAAAACTCCTTAAATAATTTAATACCAGACCATACGACTAGTAAGTGACTAGATCAGGATTTAAAGTCAAATTTATCTGGCCTAACACCTATACTTTTCTTCTATGCCCAGTGAAAAGTAATCTAGGTCTGATGAGTTAGGAGAGAAGTCTAGGTTAAAAACACCTATTTAAGATCAATCAGTATTTCAAAAGAGTGTTTGAAGCCATGGTAAAGAAGAGATCACTCAGGGAAATAACTAGTATGAAACAGAACTTACAACTTACATGTCCCAGAAATCCTCAAACTCAATGAATTTAAAAACAAGCTCAGCATCTTCATAAAAGTACTGTTATTTCTTGGACTCTAATACATAGCTACTTTTCAAATTTTAACATTTTTGAAATTACAACACACATCATAGTGTGTCATGGTTTAATTTGCACTATTGTTTCCTTTCTTAGTGGTACATAAAATAACGGTGCCTCAGAATTTATGGTTTCTTAGATTTGATAGAATACGGTAACTGTCTCCTAAACTTAATCCCCAAATTTAAATCTGGTGAATCATCAAGATCTAATTTTTTTCCATGATATCCCTTCCTTACATCCATTATTTTCCATTTTCCCTGCCATCAATCTGATTTAAGGTTGTATCAATTGTGCAAAAATTAAATACGCACCTCATTGGTCTCCCTGAATCCAGTTTTTCCCTATTCCAAATCCTCAAGCACATCATCGTAGATAAATCTTTCAAAACTACCACTGTACATATGCTACTCTCCCTCTCTTAAATTGGCTCCTCACTGCATATAAAGGAGATTATAATCTAGTTTCAAAGACTTCCATAATTTGGCTTGAGCTGACCTTCACATACTTTGTTATTAATTAATATAAGCCAGCTACTCTAATCAAGGTCTTCTATTCATGGTGCCTCAGATGCTCTAACCTCTCTCTATTACCCTCACCAGTCTTCCCATGTGAAATTCACCCAACCCTGATGCCATTCAAATCAAATGTCAAGGTTCAACTCAAGTTTCATAACCTCTACGAAATCTCCCTCCCTCATTCCAATCATTACCTCTTCTGAAGTTCCATAACATGTACCCTCTTGAATACTGTTGTATAACTTTTCAAGGCAGTTATGACTTATTTCCACAATGAAATTAAAGGATCAAAGACAGAGACTATGTTTTACATTAATGCAGCATAGTTTAGTGGTTAATTACACAGCCTCTGGAGCCAAACTACATGGGTTTGACTCTGAGCTCTGCATCTTTCTGTGTGACCTTGGGAAAGTTACTTAACCTCTCTGTGTTTCCATTTCCACATTTGTACAATGAAGTCAAAAATAGTACTCACTTCAAAGGGGCATTCTGAGAATTAAATAGTCACGTAGGACCTATTCTTGATACATAGTAAGCCCTTTAAAATTGCTACTATTTTCATTAAGAAAAATCACATTAAGTGGTGATTAAGTGTTGGAAATGCTACATAAGTGTTAGCTACACTACGTATGTTACATAAATGTTAGCAATGATTGTTGTTATTTAGAAGCTACATGCTCATGGTACCTAAAATAGTAAGTACCCAGCACATACTCAGTATTTATTTGATGGAGAAAGTGGAGGAAAGATCTTAGCGTGAGCAGAAGCTTTTCAGGGAAGTGTCTATTTCTGACATTCTGGGGAGCAGCTGGAGAAATCTGTCCAGGAATGGCAAGAAATATCTATTTGGTGGTCTACAAAGGCAATTGCAATCTCAGACGGAATCTCAGAATGACAGACAGGGAAAGACATTCCATAGGACGCAGAGCTATATATTCACAGACCTATATATATATATCATCTATACCCGTACTATAGTTTTGTAGTTGAGAATGGCATAGATGCAAACAAAACTTCTTGGTGAGTTTAGGATACATAGGTACTTACTGAGCATGCCTCTATAATTGAGGTCCATATCCCGGCTCTCTGATCGTACTTTAATAGCATCCAGAATGGCATCAGGAGACAAGAGTCCTGAAGGCCTCACAACATTCAGAAGTTCAGTGAGGCTCATCAGAGGCAAACGCACAGCCTGCATGATTTCAGCATGATTCTCCTTTGAATTGTGTTTACACCAGTTTAACAAGGCTAGGAAAATATCTTTTTCAGGAGCTGCAAATGAATCTCTTAATACGATGTTTAAAAGTGCTGTCTGAAAAGGATAAAAAGGTAAAATTCCAGTTATTATGAAGTTCAACCATGTGCATGATCAATCACAAAACCTTACAGAACTGCAAGTATGACTTATATTTAGCCAATTAACTCTTTTTGACCTTCTTCTTTCTTTACGCCTCGTGCTCATTATGGCTATGTGAATAACAAGAGAGGATGCTAGCACCTTTCTTTCCTGGTCAAGCATCTTGTACCACTACATCAAGTATCTAGTATTTCCAAACACATTGGCACCTGTCTTTTTTTAAAACAGCAAGGAGAAAAATGGCAAAGTAAGGAGCTGTCAATACATATATGTTCTTCAAGAAGAGTGTACATTTTTAAGTCATTAAGATACATCCAACATTTAAAATTCAAAACCTTTTGTTCTACAGTATTACTGCATTACCACATTTTTGGTTCTCAGATCTCCAAACTGGCCTCCAACAATACTGATACAATCCTCAAAAATCCTTGCCTTTAAAAATTAAGTAGAACAGGCCGGGCGCTGTGGCTCACGCCTGTAATCCTAGCTCTTGGGAGGCCGAGGCGGGCGGATTGCTCAAGGTCAGGAGTTCAAAACCAGCCTGAGCAAGAGCGAGACCCCGTCTCTACTATAAATAGAAAGAAATTAATTGGCCAACTGAATATATATATATAAAAATTAGCCGGGCATGGTGGCGCATGCCTGTAGTCCCAGCTACCCGGGAGGCTGAGGCAGAAGGATCACTCGAGCCCAGGAGTTTGAGGTTGCTGTGAGCTAGGCTGACGCCACGGCACTCACTCTAGCCTGGGCAACAAAGCGAGACTCTGTCTCCCAAAAAAAAAAAAAAAAAAAAAAAAAAAAAAAAATTAAGTAGAACAATAAAAATCAAAATCTACATACAAATCAAGACATATAGCTTTCCAATAGGTTTTCTCATTAGAAATATCCAGGTTCTAGGAGGAATACAACAAGACAAAGAGAGACAATCACCACCCAGAGTTGAGAGAAAGATTTGAACAAAATAGTTCTACTCTAGCTGTAACAGTGAATTTTGAGCCAGCAAAAAAAGCAGGGACTTAAAGACATCCAATGATGCATCAGATCTCCTTTATAAATTTCCCTCTTGCTATAAGAAATTAGTTGCACTCTCTGTCAGAGAAAAACAAAACCAAAGGTAATATGCAATACCACAAAGGAACCTATTTGACTATCATCACCTTGAAAACAACCACCCAGCAACATAGTCTCTTTTGCATACAAAACTTACTGGAAGAACCTTAAAACAGAACCAATCAGCCTCTGTCTTATATGATTTAGAGCCTCAGCAGCCAGATGCAAGTGGTTAGACCAGATAACCTGTTCAATACCAATGATTTTTATTTTTTTATCTTAGCCCATTGCTGTATTTCTACTGTATAGGTATAAATAAAACAATGCATGTCTATAAATTACTTGCAGACAAATGACACACCTTAGAAAGGGAGAGGAAACCTTCACTTGAGAGCACCTCCTGAGCATTCCTGTCCATAAACATGCAGCACATACAAGTTAACTTGGGAAGCGAGTAGAGACTGGCAACATCAAAAGTCATACAGACATTCTGAATGTTAAGTATGGTACAGAGATACTCAGAAGTAGAATCCTCCAGCTCTGGAAATCCATATTTATGAGCTAGGCTCAAGAAGTCCAGCAGCACCTCCTCCCTCTCATCTGTCAGCGTTGCCCGACCAGTGTAGATGTATTTGAGTAGCATTGTGAACGCGTCTGCAGTGGTGTCTTGGAGAGGGATTTCTGCTTCAGGCTGAGATTCTCGCATTCCACCATACAGTAATGCTCTGCACATTAGAGAAGAAACATGTGAGGGAAATCTTAAATAGGATTTGTTACAAAATATAGGAAATAATGGTTATCAACATTATATATACATAAATCTGTCTAATGACACAAAGATTCAGGTGAAGATATGCAAAGTAATCATTTTTATTTTGTTTTTTGCTTTGTTTTTTGAGACAGGGCCTCACTTTGTTGCCCTGGGTAGAGTGCAGTGGCATCAACATAACTCACTGCAACCTCCAACACCTGGACTCATGCAATCCTTCTCCCTCAACCTCCCGAGTAGCTGGGACTACAGGCACGTATCACCAGGCCTGGCTAATTTGTCTTATTTTTTGTAAAGATGGGGTCTCACTATATTGCTTAGGCTGCTCTTAAACTCCTGACCTCAAGAGATCCTCCTAAGTTGGCTTCCCAAAGTGCTAGGATTACAAGTATGAACCACCACACCCAGCCAAAGTAATCATTTTAAATAATTTTCCAAAGAAAGCAAGAGGGATGATTTTAAAACTATTATGAATTAATCCTATAAACAATTAAACTAGTTAGATATTCTGAGAGCTCAAGATATGTAATAGATATTAAATAGAAAGATGATAGGTGCAGTGATGCATGCCTTTAGTCCTAGCTTCTCCAGAGGTTTGCTTGAACCAAGGAGTTTCAGTCTAGCTTGAGCAACATAGCAAGACTCTATCTCTAAAAAAAGGAAAAAAAAAAAAGACAAGAAAAAGAAAAAAAGTGCTAAATAGGAAGATGAAAGTGATCTTTTGAGAACAATGAAATCAGTATAAAGATAAGGCAATTTAAAAAGTAAAACTCTACAGGAAAACATAAAAGTTAGAAAAAACATTTAAACACCAATCTGATGTCATTCTCCTGTCAGACAGGCAGAAATTAAAAAGTTTGTTAATATCCAGCACTGCTAAAGCAATGGGAAAACAAGTTCTTTCATGCATAGCTTTGAGTTTATAAATGGACACCTCTTTCTGGAAAGTACTCTAATAACATATATTCAAATTTGCTGGGCGCAGTGGCTCTCGCCTGTAATCCTAGCACTCTGGGAGGCCGAGGTGGGCGGATTGCTCCAGGTCAGGAGTTCGAAACCAGCCTGAGCAAGAGCAAGACCCCGTCTCTACTATAAATAGAAAGAAATTAATTGGCCAACTAATATATATAGAAAATTAGCCGGGCATGGTGGCGCATGCCTGTAGTCCCAGTTACTCGGGAGGCTGAGGCAGAAGGATTGCTTGAGCCCAGGAGTTTGAGGTTGCTGTGAGCTAGGCTGACGCCACGGCACTCACTCTAGCCTGGTCAACAAGCGAGACTCTGTCTCAAAAAAAAAAAAAATAGAGAGATCATTAAGTACTATCTTGGGAAGATGTTCAGGATATTATAGGCAAGTAAGTCAAACTGCAGATCCATATGAATTCCATAGAAAAAAGGGTATAACCACATACTTATATGTGTAAGCACATATGCATATATAGATATATGTGTTTCAATCAAGAAAAATCAGAGAAAATTTATATTAAACTGTTAACAGCAGCTGCCTCTGGGGAATGGTATTAGATGACTGAGAGGCAAGGACTTTCATTTATCACTTTATAATTAAAAATGAAATTACTGATGAGATTATGGGTGATTTGATTTTTTTGTCTTTCAGATTAAAAAAAAAGCCTTACATTATTGCTTATCTGTTAATCTAAGAAAAGAAAACTAGACAATCCAATCATGTAATGAATTTGAATTTCTAAGTCTATTAGTCTAGGAGGAATATTATGAACCAATTAAAGCTCCAACCTGTCAGGAAAGAAAGGGTGGTCAGAAGAGGACAAGGAGTGCAGAAAAGGGAATGAAGGGTGGAGAACAAGAAAGATGTAAGTGACAGCAAGAGAACGGGAATGAGAAAGAAATTCTCTCTGTTCCTAAGATTCTCACAGAAGGACCAGCATTTCAGGGTTGACCTCCATACCTGCCTGGAACTTCTCCCACCCTCCCTCAGAACCTGGCATTCTTGCTTGCCTGAGGAAAACAGGTGAAACTACTCAGCAAAAGATTTATGCATATTCTGAGCATACCTCTTCATTGAGTTATATTCTGCCTAAAAACACCCACGAAGGTTTTCATTAGTCCAGAAAGCATCCAACCATACCTTAAAATTACCAAATTAAAAAACTACTCCTTGCTAGGGAGACCTCAACAAGACTTACTCCCACTCCAGTGTGATCCATGGTCTTTATCTCAATGCTTTAAAAGTGGTTTTGACTAGGCCCCCTTAGAACACTAAATATGAACCCCCAACTTCACCAAGACAAGCATAGAATTTCAATGTTTACTGTGAAAAATTTCCTCCAGCACAGTTGTCCTTACCAGGGAATCCATAGGTTCTTATGACAGCACTTAGGCCTCTCCTGACTGCTGACAATTAACTTTCCTTTGCACACAAATAGTGTTGGCAATGAGAATCTGTCTAAGATAGCTTTGGTAATGACTCTGAGCTTAACCTAGTGAGACATCAAATATTACAAACATTCAATATGCACAAAGACATCAGGAACAAGGTCAATAAGTGAGATGAGTATATTCCATTCACTCAATATGATATTCAAATTTCTAAAAGTATTTGAGTTTTTTTTAAGAGTATACTGATATCCACATACAGTTGTTTCAAATTACTTATTAAAGATGGCAAGATATAAATCATTAACAAGTATGAAACATAAGGCAGAAAAGTTCTACATTGATGAAGAGTGGACTCTAAAAAAACACTTTAGCAATAATAATTGGACCAAAAGTTAAAAAAAGGAAAAGAAACAGAAAATGAAAAGTGTGCAGAGGACAGAGGCTGCTAACAAATAATGATGAGACCAAGGCCAGATGTCTTTGGTAGAGCTGACTACCAGGAAGAATAGGAGAACATAAGCTAGAACTCTTAACAGAACTCTTTTCTAAGCTCTTGGTTTCACCTACAGCGGCATTTTACACATAAAAGATGGGAAGTTCTAAAAATGTTCATAAGAAACTATAGGAATTCTAGCTAAATAGTAAATATTTCTAAAAGACACACTTTACTACATGTGTGACTCTAGGTGTTGCTGCTTGGCTGGCATAATTAATTCTGATTATAAAAATCAGATGTCAGTTTTCACTGGAAAGTAACTAAAATATTCTTTGAGCTATTGCCATCTCCATGTTAGATACTGAGTTTCCCAGGCATATCTATAATTCTATGAACCATCTTTATCCTGGAAAATAGAATATGGCCCATTATCAAGGATAAAATATCAGTCTATTGACTATTCAATGATGATTTCCTTTTAACTAATATCAGGTAAAATGTAGAGTAAGTAGAGATCAGTTTAATACTTATAATCCTGTCCAAGTGACAGACAATAGCTCTATATAAGTGGGATTTTTACATTAACTAAATATATAAATATTTTATTTAGTCTTAGTTTTACTATAACTATGAAACTTAGTCTCAATCAATACTTAAGTTTCTTTCAATTTGGGACTGTCAAACGGAGTATCTTAGACAAATCTGTTGGGTTACTGAAAAGTCCTGGACATCAGTAGTCTCAAAACAAGAGGTACACATGTCTATTAACAGGTCTGGAGGTCAGACTATCTATATGACAAGAAGCCTACTCGCCAGTAAATCATTTTAAGTCCCATTAGTCATATACTGTGAGAAGGTGAGGGCAACAAAGACTCAGCCTGAGAAATATTCTTGAGACCTTGAAAAATGGTTGATTGGGTACTATCTGGCCTGGGAAGCCTTTAATCCCTTAATTCTAAGATGGCTCCTAAAGGAAAAGGTGATTCTCAAAAAATAACAAGTCTACAAAGATGAAATTCTTATAGATGTTGAATTGAGGGACTTCTAGAATTTGTCATTATGCTTGGTTGCATATTGTTCCTAGAGTGGAAAATACCAGCATTTTTTAATAGTGACTTGAATCTTCAAGAAAGTGTTACACACTTACCGAAAATAGTGGCACCTGGCTGCTAAAATTACCCTGTGGGCAGGAAATCGTTTCTTTTCCACAACAAATGTGACGTCACCATATTCCTCCCCAATTAACAAGGCACCAATATGTTCAGACAAAATGTGCACATGATCAATTTCCCCCACTGCAGTAAAGGGGCGAAGAGGATGGCTGTTACTCATCTTGTAGAACTGATGATAGTCGCTGATCTATTATATAAAGAAAGGATAAGAGTTAGTGGGAGGAGGGGGGTACACTTAGAAAATCACATACCATAAACATAGCTAACTAAAAACTTAAAGTGCTTTTTAAAAAAATGACATGACAGAGAATTAATCATTAATGGAATCTATATTAACCTATTTATTCTGAGATGCAATTTAGCCTGCTTCCCATTACCTCTACCACCTTCACTGCCTATCACAGTAGGAGAGCAAAAATGTCAGGGTCTTCAAACACTAACAGCATTTGAAGCCATCGTAATCTAGAAAATTGAGCCCAAATACAGGTCCCGTATTCTTTATAGTACTTCAGGAAAAGAAAAATCAACAACCAGAATAACTTCTATTTTACACAGATATATTTAGTGCATGGTTGGGTATACCCAATAGAAAAGTCATTCAGCCATAGATCTAGGCCTAAATTACAAACAGAATAAATGAAGTATTCAGATTTCAAATAAGAGGTTTTTGTCTGAAACGATCTTAATATTTTTCAAAAAACTATGATCTTCTACAGTCACAAAAATAACCTGACATTTATCAATTAAAGTTTACAGTAGCATCCTAACCCTCCCCACCAGCAAAAGAACAACTCCAACATTTTTCTCAAGACTGTAACTTCCATTCCAGACTTGTGGCTCTGATGATCAAGTTTTCAGTGTTTACCAGAACATCATTACATCTTATCTCATTTACAGGTATGTAAGCTTTTGTATGTAATATCTTTCTACAAAATTAACTGAAAATCAAAAGGCTAAAACTTGATTAACAACTTTACATGTTAGAAAGGAGAGTTATGTTCGAAAGCTAAAAATGTTTATTTTTAAATTCCTAATGTACTTGCAGGTACTGCTTTGACAAGTAAGTGCCCAGCAAACGAGTCAGAGTCTTTGCTAGCATTCAGGTGCCCCAGGTGGAGAGGTGGCTGACTGCTCAGAGGTAGCCAGCTACCTGTGTGTTGCACCAGAGACTAGGGGAATTAAACCATATATGCTCTCCACTAGACTTCCACACTTTTTTGAACTCTCCACTTGAACCACAATTAAAGGTGGAGCAGCTCCTAATCTTTAAACTTCCACATCCAGAGCAATTATTAGCAAAGCATGTCAAAATGATCTTTCTCCCCTTCCACTGCAGTGGAAGATCCCCATGGACCTGTTCCCAAGCTGCCTGCTCCAGTTAACCTGTTACCACCTGCCACCTTCAAGAAAGCAGGGCAACAGCCAATGACAGAGATGCAGAACATGGAGGAAGAGCAAGGCAAGGAAACATACAACCCAGGGAAGTGAGCAAAATCTTCATTCCCTCTAGTAAGAGCCTCAGAGGCCTAGCAGCATGCTCCCCTCATTGCCAAAGCCCTAAAGATGGAATTATCTCCAATTGCCTGTGTATGAAAGACCAATTCAGCTTAAGAGGATCTATTTAGGAGTATGAGTGAGTAATGTGTGTTACAATAGTCTAAGGTGTAATACAACAATAGTCTAACACAGGATTTGGCAAACTTTCTGTAAAGAGTCAGATCTAGTAAATACTTTAGGCTTTGCAGGCTATATAATCTATGTCAAAACTATGCAACTCTGTAGTGGCAGACTAAAAGCAGTCACAGGCAATAAGTAAATGAATGAACATGGCTATGTTCCAATAAAAATATTTATAGAAAAGAGCTACATTTGGCCCACAAGCCATAGTTTGCCAACTCCTGGTCTAACATGTGATCAAAAACTGACTGTACTCTAGACAAAGGATCAGACTGGGGGTTTGGGGTATGTTTCTCGCTGAGTTACCCAATCAATGTTCAAATTAACACGGTAATTTCCTAGGTCCGCCAGAAAATTCTGAAAGCTACTGGAACCTGACTTCAAAATCTCATTCCTCTTCAACACAAACTCTCACATCACTATCCAATACTTCAGTGATAGTACATCACTCTAAAAAAAACCAGACTCTTTCCTGACTGAAAGAATGCAATGCATATATCAAGTGAATACATTCTCTGGTATAATATTCTCTTAATGTTTTATCCAGGTCATGGCTAAGACTCAAATCATTTGCTAAATGACTCAACAGTCATGAACAATGACTGATTTTTGGTTAACCAGCTCAGAAGGGAAATTTATAATTCTTCAATATACACCATAAACATTAATTCTACATATGTAAATATGTAAATAGATTCTACAGGTCTTCACTTCTCAATACGTATAATTTCATTTTGCTAAATTTACATGTTAATTATGTTTTTCCAAATGGAGACATAAAGAGAATATTGCTGGGTACAGAAAATAGCCACTTGGTATATAGAATAAACATAATTTTTATTTGCATACAGAAATAATTTTAATTAGACCAGTGATTCTCAATGAGCTTACCATACACTAAAATCACATGGGGAGCTTAAAAAAAGAAGGAAAAAGAAAAGATGCTGAGTCCTCCCCCTCAGAGACTAGAAAGGGCCTGGGCATTGAAATTCCCATTCTGAAGTGATTCTAATGAGCAGCCTGGAAAACAGTCACTGATTTAGACTCTTGCAGGCTCATATCCCTTATCCAGTCACACAGTATACAAACAAAATATCCACTGAAAAAATTTCATTTAAGATATGATACTATTTTGAATCTTATGGCAAAGAGACAAATGGCGCTAACAGAGTCACCAACTCATAGCTTGTATACAAAAAATGAGTATTTTTTTCACCAGTGGATTAGTTTATCTACAAAGTGATGGTTTGGGTCTGCCCCCTTATACAAAAAAAAAAAAAAAAAAAAGCATGTTTTAGAAATTACACATTAATAAAATTTTTAAACCACCAATTTTAACTTGATAATGAAATTAGAGAAAATATTTTTGAAGTTCATGCAGTAAAACTGTATATTGAACTGTTTCTTAAGCTTTAAAAGTTATTTTGTCATTAACTACATATGTGATCCTGTAACAAATACTCTAATTTCCATGAGATTGTTTCCACACCTATAATGACATGGTTACAGTAGATAATTATTTTTTAAGTTACACTTTATAACTAGCTACTATCTTTTAATATTTCTTTGTTTTGGCCTGTCATACAAAATCAAGATGCTTCAGCTAAAAAACAAGAATATATCATTTAAAATCAAAGTTTATGAAGAGAATCGGAAGTTCTGGAGTTTGTACAAATGCATCATTACTATGGTAAATAATCCCAAAGACAGCTGCCATCAATTCCTTTTCTTTCCCTATACACACATATCCCCACTGAGGAGTAGATTCCATTTCCTCTCCCCTTGAATCTGGGCTGGCCCTGGAACGGCTTTAACCAATAGAAGTGAGGTTCTGGGCTTTAGCCTTAAGAACACTTGGCAGATCCTGAAGCTTTTGCTCTTTTGGGAATTCTAAGTTGCCCCAACCATGATGGAGAGGCCACATGGAAAGCAAGAATCCTGAGACTGTATGGAGAAGAACCAAGGAAACCACATGAAATGAAAACTAAGGCCCCTGACATATGATTCTAGTCAAGCCCTTCCAACCTGCTCACAGCCATTTGAGCCATCCTAGTTGAGGGATAGATATGTGAAGATCTTCTAACCCCTGGAGATATCACATGGTACAGATATAAGCCAACCCAGCTTGGCCCTGTTCAAACTCCTAATCCACAGAATTATATGAAATATAAAAGTTACTTGTTTAAGTCATTAAGTTTTAGAGAACTATATTATGTAGCAATAACTAAAAGAATTATTATATAAAAGTCTTTCATTTTCTTTATGAATTTCACAACTGCCAGCAATTTCAAAATTAGTACATAAAAACATTTAGAGCCAATGCTTAGTCACCTACATAAAAGGGAAAAAACAGAAACAAACAAAAAATTCCAAGGCATATTAACAAAAAATAAAAATAATTTTTAACTGAAATTAGTTTTCTTTGTTAGTGAACACATTTACTGAGTACCCACCATGAGCCAAAAGCTAGGATGATATCTAGAATGAGACAGACTGGGCCCATGTTCTCCAGAAGCTTCTAATCCAGGACAGCATCTCCTATGAGATGCTGAAAACTTCTCAGAAACTTTACTTAAATAATAAAGACACAGCCTATAATGAGAAGCTGAGAAATATTCACTCCTGCAGTTCCCAATCTAATATCACAATGTTTCCTATTCCTTTTTCTAAGAATAGGGGTTATTTGTTTAGTTAGAAAGGTTGTGGTTGCTGAGCTTGGTGTGGAAAACGAACTTCAGTTACTGAAAGAAAGAAAACTCTGAAAGCTGCTCAAATCTCTTCAAATATGAAAATTCTACAGGTCCTGTGTCAAGAGTCCCCAAGACCATCCCCAGGTTCGATGATTCATCAGGAAGGCTCACATGACTCAGCACACAGTTAAGTCAGTCCCTCCTCTCCATGGGGATATGCTCCAAGACTCCCAGTGACTGTATGCAATTCTGGATAAACCAAACCCCATATATACTATGTTTTTTCTTTTCTTTTTTTTTTATGCTATTTTTTTTCAATCTAATAACTGAGACACTGGACAAAGGGATGATTCACATCCCAGGCAGGACAGAGCAGGATAGTATAGGATTTTATCATGCTACTCAGAATAGTACACAATTTAAAACTTATGAACTGTTTATTTCTGGAATTTCCCACTTGATGTTTCCAGACCTCAACTGACCACAAGTAACTGAAACCGTGGAAAGTGAAACCGCAAATAAGGGGAGACTACTGTATTCATATGACTGTGATTTATTTCAGCAAAAGCATACAAAGCAAAATCAGCAAAGGGAAAAAAGTACATGGGGGGAAGTTCAAGGAAAATCAGGTACAAGCTTCCAAGGGTCCTGTCCCAATGGTGTCACATTAGACATACTTAATTATCACAGCAACAAGTCGTGACAACACATGCGTAATATCACCAACCAGGAAGCCTGTTAGAGACTCAATGCCCAGGGTTTTTGATGGGGGCTGTTCATGTAGGTAGCTCCTGCCTGGCATGTGTCCAAATTCCAGACT